AATAATGCTCGATAAATCAGCTTTTTTTTTCACATTTTAATAATTTTCTCAAAAACTGTAATAGATAGAATGAATCCAAATATGCATATGAAAGCTGAATGTTTGGGAAATCTAGCAAGTATATATACATTCCTGTGCTCTTATCCATATTGTTGTAATACGCGTTCAAAGAACGGGGTGGGGTGTGGGGAGGCGCCAAATGATTACATACTTTTGAGGGAGGCGTAGTAACATCAAGTTTGGAAACCACTGTCCTAGAGGGAAGAATTAGGAGGAAGACAATTGGTTATATTAATTAGGATCTAATTAATTGGGTCGAAAATTGTAAAAATATTTATTAGAATTGTTTCATAATATAATAGGTTTAACAAAATATTTAATCACAGCTGTGTTTGACGCATTCGAAGGTTTTGGGTATATGAAGAGGATGACCGTAAATAGGAATCATCCCTTCCTGAACTGTTTTCAAGATTGTGAGATAGGCCTCATGCCAATTGCAATGTAAATTACTAATATTTCTATAAAAACAATATGAAATTATAGCAAAATATTAATTTCAAAATTAAATATTTACCTGTGAAAGAATTTCAGAATCGTATGCAACTGCTCGATTTTCCTACTCGAGACCAACTCTTTCAAATATTCACCCAACATATTAACATCCACCAGTTTCGGTTCAGATTCATGCTTGAACCAATTTCGAAGCATAGTTTTAAAATTATCGTAATTCAAAGACGCGAAACCCGTGTCTTTCTTCCGCTTTTCCGGCTTGGGTTCATCAATTTTAATCTCTGGTATTCTCGTTTCCGGTTTTGCTTTCAACGTTTTCGTTTCCAATTTGTACTCTTGCATAACTTCTTTCCTAATATCATCAGGCAACTCGTTTAAAACCGTTTCCTCGATGTTTGTTGACGCAACCTTAGTTTCCTCACCTTTATCCAAATTGTATTCTTTGATAATTTCCTTCCTGATATCCTCCGGCAGTTCGTTCAAAACATTCAAATCTATATCGCATTTGCTTTGCTTCAATTAAAAAAAAACGAATAATTATTGAATTAGTTTAAAAATCGAAATGTTCACTTACTTTAACTTTAGGTCTATCTTTTTGAGTGCTTTTGAAGTAATTGCTCAATTCATTGGATGATTTTCTTACTAATTTTGTACCGTTTTTTGAACCTCTTGGACGACCTCTTCCACTTGCTCTCATCGGTGGTTTCACTTCTATCGTATCTGCAACAAGATTTAATTAAAATATTAGTGTTAACAATTCTTCTTTCTTTAATTTACTCTCTTTATTTTCTTCATTTATAGTAGTATCTTCTTTAAAAGTCTCTGAAATCTTCCAAATTTATATAAATTAACAATTAATTTAATATGCGTCACCTACTTTCTTTGATAATCGATTTCTGCTGGAAGCTCACATCTGAAAAAGTAATAAAAATTCATAAACTAGACTGAAATCAATGATATTCACTAACCTTTTTTAGTCTCAACTTTTGTTGAAGGTTTACTTAGGAAACTCTTCATGAAGCTATTCATTACGACCGCCTTCTCTAACCGAGTTAACTGAATTCCCACACCTCTTAAATCTTGGTAAGGTTGCTTGAGTTTTTCATAAATTCCTTTGATTTCCCGGTAAATCACTTGGGAATCTTCGGTGGCAGTTGGAAGCATCACACTTCTTGTTAAGCTATCGCACACTCCGTGTCCCAAATACTTCGCAGTTTCCTATAAAATTATTGTATGTTTATTATATTATTAATTACAATTAGTTGGAGCGTACAGTTGGTGCATTTTCCGCCCGAACCATGAGCTTCAAAGTAACTCCTCTAGCTTTCATTCCGGTTTCCAGCAATCGATTCTTCACTTCCACGGAAAGTCTTTGTAGGAAAGTCAAAGCTTCTTCTTCGTTTTTGAAGCGAATTCCGTAATTCACCTCAGCCGAAACACTCTTTCTCTCATGTTCATAGCACAAAGCCTTTTTGTCGACACCATGCGATTGGTCCCAAATACTCTCACCTGATTTAGACCCAAATTCCTTCTGCAAAACCGTTAAAGAACTTTCCTGCAAATTATAAATTAATAAAAGAAATAATCATTTTAAAATAGATTAGTTACTTGGATATCTTTGCAAGTTTCAAAACCCAAATTCTTAAGTTTAATCAACGTCGCTCTACCGACTCCAGGCAATTCAGATAAAGGCATTTCCGACATGTAATCCTCCACTAATTCAGGTTTTAGGTAGTATTGACCATCAGGTTTTGCTCTCTTCGTGGCTAAACGTGCTTGCAATCTATTAGCTCCGAAGCCTGTAGAACAAGGACACCCAGTCCTAGCCTTGATGACGCTCCTAATATGCCCGGCCCATTCCTGCACGGTAAAAGAAGTCTTCTGCAGGATATTACCAATATCCACGTACATCTCATCGCAGCTCACAGCTTCGATATCAAGAGTATATTCCGATATAGTCTTATACAAAATAGAAGACACCTGCTTGTAACCTTCAAAATCGTAAGGTATAGCTTTTAAATTAGGGCACAGCTTCAATGCAGCTCCCATAAACATCCCATTCTTAACTCCACACTTCCGCGCTTCGTAGCTACAACTAGCAATCTCTGATAAGCTACTATTGTTATCAATAGCTTCCAGTCGACAATCGGCTCCTTCTGGTAAACGCTCCACGTACATCTCAATTTCCCTCCGACGATCCACATTCGACCTAGAAGGACCACCTTTGGAATGTGTAACTGCAACTGGTAAACCTCTAAGTTCCGGTCTCGATCTCAATCCAACCGAAACGAAGAAACAGTCCATATCGATGTGCATCACGATCGATCCAACAGATTTATTATTGACTTCCCTTTTAGTAATTGCTTCCAAACCGGGATATTTTCCTGTATTCTTCTCGCGCATATCATTCACCAGTTGCTTAAATTCCGCTCCGAGCGTGGCTATTAAATGCAACCTCGAATTATTGTAAAACTCGGCAAGAAAACTCGGATCCGAAGCTGTTTTAGTTGATGCATTTATACTATTATTCTCTAAAACGCTTTTAGATTTTGATTCATCAATTGATATTTTACCTTCATAAGCTGTTTTAGTTAATGCATTTATACCATTATTTTCTAATACTCTTTTAGAATCAATAATTTTTGATATTTTCATTTCATCTTCAGTGCTTTCAGAAAGCTTAAACTCAACCTCTTCATCAAATTCATTGGATTCAAATAGATCTGGAGAGATGGGTCTTGATTTTGTTATGTTTTTAGATTGTACGTCTGCACTTTTCATGTAATGTTTCAATTTTGGCTGAGTCCTGCTCTGATTACTGTACAGCAAATAGTTGCTGTAATCCAGAACCCTTCCCAAAGTAATGCTATCCACAATCCAACCTGGTTTTACTATTGGAACATTACCTAATTTAGAAATCTGCAATCCAATCCATTTATTCAATCATTTCTCTCTACCCATCAAAACTCACTTTAACATTTGGTAACATACTGGCAATAATATGAGTGGTTGAGGCCACTTGATAAGTGTGGAAGACTCCTCCGTGTTCAGCCATCAAAATTTTCAGCTCCTCAGAACTCGGCTTAGTGTAACCATTGACAAAGATTGCAATACCCTTGAGAACATCAGACACCTTCTCAGCACTTTTAACAGTCTGTTCTCTGTACTGTTCCATAAGCTTAGCCTTTTTGGCTTCCATGTAACCACCCTAAATGAAATCATATTTATCCATCAACTTAAAGTAAAGTTTACTCAATTCTTACCCATTGGGCAAAACCATTTTCATCATCATCATCATTTCTCTTTCTTCGTCCACCCCTCATTAAAGTAATAATTTAAAAATTAAAATTCAAAAATATAAAATTCAAATAAACAAAATCATCTGAGAATTGTTGGTTATGTTTTGACGACCTCTGACCTTAATATTATTAATTTCACCTGTGCTTACCTGCAGCAATGTTACCAACTATCTAATTAATAAAAGGCATTAATTTTTGGGAATCTACTAATTATAGAAGTAAGTGTTTGTTATATTAATGGTAATGGAAATATTAGATGCGAATTTACTAATTAGATGATATTTTAATTAGTTTTTAATGAACAACAAGAGAAAGTTTTAGTTCTTCGCTTAGTATTCAGAGGGTTGGTCACCATACAACACCCAACCACACCTTCCTGCATACCTAATTGTTTACATATCAAAGAGTGTGTCATAGCTTTTATTTAATGTAAGTAAATAATAATATTGACTTAATTATTAATTTTATCTTAATTCATTAATTCTTTTTTATACTTTAAACAACTTTATATAGTTTAATAGAATAGTAAGTAAATCCAATTGGAATTTGTATTAAAGTTTGGGTGTTTACTTGTTTAAGATGAATTATGAGAAGAGGATGCCTTCGAGGCCCCCATCAGTCTACTCTCATGTAACCAGCCGATCCAGTGCCAATTTGAGAAGTGGCACAAGTTTAAAGTCGCTGAAGATACCTTGGTATCAGAAACCACTAATCCAAAATGCTATATTCATGGACGTTCAAAGATCTGCCTTTTACACAGGCATTTTCACTTTGGTAATTTATCACATTTACAAAGCTGTAATCATTTATTAATTTTCTTTATTTTAGTTGCTGGCACTATTCACAGTGGTTACTAGTATATTTGATATCTATTGCCATATAATGGCTCTTCCTGGATCAACACATTACGGATATCATGTATTCTCATATGAATTTGTTTATGTTGGAAATAAGCATGGTGAGTTAAAAACAGAATCAGTGTTTGGTCAATCAATGTAAATGTTTTGTTCTAGTAAGGAATGCTTTAGTGATGTTTGCTGTGTTCTCAACGCTTCTTTCATTCATTGTGTTTGTTACAAGTATATTCCTTATAATTGGTGTTAGAAAGGTAATTGGTAATAATCTAAATTGATTGATTTTAATGTAATTTGTATTTCAGGAGCATGAGAAGAAGATGGTTCCCTGGTTGTATACTTTCTTTGTGTTTTGTTTGTTCAGAGTCTTGGCGAATCTGTTCTCTAATATAGTGAACGATAACATCTTCGCCTACAACCGTTTGATGGTCACCTTCTGGCTCATCTTCCTCGCATTCTCGATCTACGGTTGGATTATAGTCTACTCGTTCTACATTGAGCTTTCCGAACTCACCAAGCTCGAGGATCTGGCGCATCTTCGGGTAAGTTAACTTCGGTTTACTAACAACACTCTAATCATGATTAATTCCCTTAATGCTTGCTAGAGTATCGAAAGGTAGCAATTAGCCGGTAAGGGTTTACTAATCTTTGTTTAATCTCTTCATCAAGAATTCAATTCAATTTGAGAAAACCAATATTTGATTTGCGCTAATCTTATGGTTGTTTCTGCAGATGGGCACTTTGCAGTCCCTGAATGCATCGACGGTCCCTTCCCTGGCGGGATCTCGTCCGACGACACCCCACAGTACGGTGTCGACGATGCCCGTGAGCTAAGCTCGAGGATGACGCCCATCGCCGGACCGTCGCGCTCCATCTCATTCTTCACCGATACAGATTTAAGCGTCGCGACGCCATCCACAGCGCCCATCGAATACATAACATAAGAGAAAACCTCTCCCGTCCAAAAAAAAAAAAAGAAACATAATTACGTGATAGTTTTATACATAACTGTACAAATTTAGACAAAAACCCTTTGATTATATAACATAATTTATATCATCAAAGAACAACTGAACAGATTTTCATATCCTGTTATGAAATATGTATTACTTTAACGATCCGTCCACTTTATTATTATTATTTTTAAGAGTTTTAACAAGATTTCGTCCTTTTGCTTATCAAACCAAAGGATGTGTTGCGTTTGAAGCAATGGCCTTCGAATTCATGCGAGCAACGAAACTTACCGTTCTGTTTCTCGAAAAGCAAAGAAATGTTTTAAATTAGGATTTTATTTGTTTACAGATGGTAATATTTTATACAATTTTATAAGCTTTCAAAGTTACGTTTACTGTAGTAAATTATTTTAACGAAAATGGAACACCATAAAAATGGTTTTATAGTCTACTCACAACTTTTTTTTATTAAATTAAAAATTTTATCCGACTCTTGTATTTTATTACCCAATCATCAAAAATCCATTATTTTTATTTATAGATTTTTACTTAAGAGTATTACTTTTATACATTTATTTCACACATATGTTACTTTCAATATAATACAGCAATATCTCGTATTGTGCGGCTTTAATCAGTCCGGATTCACCACAGTTTGAAAGGTAGTGAGAAAGCAGTGACTTCACATTTTAGTGATTTTCTCAAAAACTATAATACATAGAATGGTTCCAAAAGATGCATATGAAAGTTGCAAATTTGGGGAATATAACGTGTATTCAAATATTGTGTTATTGTAATTCGCTGTCTCCACATTTTAGTGATTTTCTTAAAAAGTATAAGAGATAAAAGTGATCCAAAAGATGCATATGAAAGTTGGATTGTTGGGGAATACAACTTGTATAATCTTATCAGATACTGTAATAGATAGAATGAATCCAAATTTATTTTATCCGAGTTTTGTGTTTTATTACCCAATCCATTACAAAAATCCATTATTTTTATTTATAGATTTTTACTTAAAAGTATTACTTTTATACATTTTTCTCACATATTTGTTACTTTCGATATAATACAGCAATACCTCGTATTGTGCGGGTTTGATCAGTCCGGATTCACCATAATCTGGTTTGAAAGGTAGTGAAAAAGCATTGACTTCACATTTTAGTGATTTTCTCAAAAACTATAATAGAATGGATCCAAAAGATGCATATGAAAGTTGCAAATTTGGGTAATGTAACGTGTATTCAAATATTGTGTTTTTGTAATTACCTGTCTTCACATTTTTGTGATTTTCTCAAAAAGTATAAGAGATAAAAGTGATCCAAAAGATGCATATGAAAGTTGGATTGTTGGTGAATGCAACTTGTATAATTTTGTCAGAAACTGTAATAGATAGAATGAATCCAAAATTATTTTAGAAAGAAAGATTTAAGTACAAGGAAAGAAATGAATTTTTAAAAAAAACAACACACAATTAAGCTATTATTTTGTAATGAATAATTAATACTTTTTTTTTTACAAATATATTACAAGTTTACACTGTCATACTCAGAGTAAGTATATAGAAAAATGCTATTAAAATTCTCGATTTGCAAAGTGGAAAATCATTAATATTGTTCACGTTTTCTTTTTTTTCCATTAAATCCCAACGAATTTTCCAGTTTGCAAAAGGCGTTCAATGAATCGAAGAAAGAAACAAAACAAATCATAATAATAATAATAAGAGTCAAATAAACTGTCGATAATTACGTAATGATTATACGTTGACGCACTTTGTCCCAATCGCGCGACATTCCCGACGACACTCACTCACATTTAGGCTGTTATTTAACTAAACGAACTAAATAATAATTAAAGGAAACAACAAACAAACAATAAATCCATCTTTCTCTCGATTTCGCTGCTCGTATTTGAAACAACGTTAATATTATCAATAAATCAATTGATTTATCGCTCGGAATCAACCAAAAAGTGAAACATGGAATGTATAATATTTATATTACGTACATGTTACAAGGAAATAAAGAATAAATATTTATAATAATATAATATGTATAAATCGTATGTATATATATATATATATAAAAAAAAATCATGGATTTCGTTCCCTATTTCTTCTTATATTCTTTCGAAATTACACAAGAAAAAAAAAAACGATTGCTTTGTTTCAGTCAAAGATAAAATTACAATTTAAATTATAGTTGCTGTTTTTTTGCTTCTCTCAAAGAAATTATAAGAAAAAATGTACATCGAGGAAATCTGTATAGGGCTTAGAGGGTAATTAATAATTATTATAATAGTATAAATTAATTACATTGAGCATATATAGAAGACGAAATAAATTAAGTACAAAATAATTAATGTTTAGGGTTTGTTTTTTTGCAAAAATTTTCGCGATTGTACAAATCGTGAGAGAAAGATTCACCAAAACAATAAATATACCATTCATATACACATAAACAAATTGCTTATTGCTCGATTTTTTTCTCTTTATATTCTTTATTATATAATATATATTTATAGTAGTATTAAATAAACAAAGAAATACTTAGAATGTAGACGAAGACTTTAAAAAAAAAAGTTTTTTTTCTCTTAATTTCTTTCTTTACTTGCAGTCTTTTACGTTGTTGTCTCATCTCATCTTCGTTCTTAATTTCTGTAATATATATAATTTCGCAGTCAGTTCACAACAACTATCAATCATCTTTTCTTTTTTCTCTTTAAATACTACTACGGACAGTTCATTTTTTTTTATTCCATTGCTCTCACATTTGGCTAGAAATAAAAACAATTATAATATTAATAATAAACAAATAAATAAATCCAGACGCAAAAAGATCTAAGCCAAAATTTGGTCCAAATTTCAGCGTTTCACTTGATTTCCTTTTTTCAGCCTCCATCCACTCCACAGTTTTAGGCCACGAAAGAATAAATAGACAATAAAACAAGAATCACGTTTCAGGCACAAATTTTGGCTCAACACATTTTACAATATCATTATTAATTTTTTTTTTCTTTAAATATATATATATATTTATATAATATACATAATTCTTCTAATATTGATTCACTTTCTTTCTTTTTAAATATAATATAAATCCTTGTTTGTTCATCGCTAAACAGAAATCGGAAATTATATTACGTTGATATGTAGAAAAAGTATACAAAAGAAAAACTTTTCACGCTCATCCCAGAAAATCAAATTGTTTTTTTTTTTCAAAGAAAACAATTAATGAATTATATAACTAAATACATGTTGGTGTTTCGTTCCTTGTTTGTGTTCACGTTCTCTTCTTCTCCAATTTCAAATTGGTTTCGTGCTAAGAAGCATTTCGTTTCAACGAATAATTAAATTAAAAAGGGGTTTCGAAACGCACCGGACGAGGCACAAACTTTGGTTCTTGTTTTTGAATTTGCGCAAATTAAAAGTTTTCGTTAGTTGGAGCGTCTATTTTGTTTGTTTTATTTCGTTTCGTTTCACACCATTGGACGGCTTCAAAGAGTGATAAAAATTGATTTGGAAAACGAATGATTTCAATCGATAATTTTATAGATGTTTCTTGATGTAAAAACCAAAATTTGCGTCTCTTCCATTTACGTTTCGTAATTATTTCGTTATTTATGTTGTTGTTGTTGTAAGAAGAGAATATTTGTTTTATAATTAGGTACACACGTAAATATTTTTTTTTTATAATTTTTTTCTTTGTTTTTTTTTTGATTATTAGATTGTTATTACATGGATAAAAAGAATTACAATTGCCGATTACTCTCTTGTTTTTCTTCTCTCGCTATTTTTGTTTATACATAAAGCTCACGGACACCTCAGAGTATCTAAAATGTTCACTTGAATCCATCGCGCACTCCGCGCGAAAAACGTTCGTTCTTTTTTAAAAAGAAGAAAAAAACGGTAAAAAAAGTCTCTTTTTTCCTTTTTTCTGCTTAAATTTTTAGATAGAAAAATGGAAATTAAATAGAAAAATATATGTGTATGATCGGATTGTCCACTCGTCGACGAAGCGAAAAAGCACACTAACTATAAACTAAACGATAAATATCACCACGTTTTGATTCCACTTAAATAAGAAAAAACAAGGATTGAAATTAACAAATTAATTAAATGCGTTTGAAATAATAATAATCCTGTGGGTCCTTTTCGCTTTGCGAATGTTGGTGTTCAAGTCGGGGTGGTGTCTCTTCATTTCCTTCTTTAAACGAGGAATCCTTCGGTCCCGTTGACCCGGATCTGGGCTCTGATGTTCTGCACGCTGTTCATGATCTTCTTCTGGTGACCCACGAGGGTGATTCCCAGCTCGGTCAGCTCCTTCACCGTCAGATTGACGACTGCGTCCATGGTGTTGATGCCACCTGCGTGGAAGTTCTCCAGGTATCTGGTCATCTTTATCGAGTTCAACCATTCCTCCACCGAGGAGAAGTTCGTAAGATCAGGCGCGTCCGCCGCTAAGGGATTCGTCGATCTACAAGAAGCAAAAAAACCGAAATCTTTAATAATACTTTCTAAAAATAAAATACAATTAATTTTGATTTAAGTAAATAATCAGTAAAGTTTTGTGGCTCAACATCTAAAGAGTGTCAAAATCGTTTACAATAATTAATCTGTAATAATAAGAAACACAAACATGTTGAAAATTACACAATAATTGAGTAAACTGCAAATAATGCAATAATTATCGTTCCTTCTATTAAGGTCAAGAGAAACATATATAATCAGCATCTAAAATAATGAGAAAGGAGCGACGTAAAATCAGTTATGAATAGGTTTTCTTTGTCAAAAATTAGACCTGATGCCACAGAAAATTACGTTAAAAATCGCATGCGTTGTGTTTAGTGGTTATTTGTTATCGTGCAAACCCACGCTTTACTATCTTTGAGTGCTGTAACGAGTTAATGGTTTATGGTTGTTGGAATTGGGAGAAAACGAAAGCAGCGAAAGAAATAATTGAAATAATAAAAGAAACCAAAAAAAAAAAATAGCAAAGCGAAGGAGGAGAAATAAGGGAGAAACGTTCGAGCTATAAAAATCTTCCCAAACACCTCGGTTAATTATTTAGTTTTGAAGATTCGGAAGATCGAATGTTTCTCGCTTATCCTTGTGTTAGATGTAATTAATTAAAAAAAAAATAATAAAAAAGAAGCATAGAAATACCTTAGGTGTTTAAAGTTTGTGAGATAAAATAAATTGTAAAGCAATAGAGGAGATATTTACAGGTTGCTGGTAAAAGTGACCCAATTGCCTTCTTTACTGTTCTGTGTTCTGTTCCATCCGTCGACCTCGTCGCCCTCCCCGTCCGTCCCCGTCACACCCCCGCTCCCTCCTGTACAGTACTCGCTGCCGCCGCTGTTCTCGCCGCATCCCCCATCGAAATCGTTGAGCATACGCCAGCCGCCGCCAGAAGATGAAGAACCGTCCCTGTTCAGATCGTTCAGATGGCTGACGTTCAAGTGGCTGTTGAACAACCGATTCATTTCGATCTCGTTCTGAATCTGCCTGTTAATATCGAAGTGGCCTGGCAGAGTGCCGAACCCATGCGGCGGTGGCTGCTGTTGGTGGTGATGATGCACCATGTACGGTTCGTGGTAACCGTAATTGCTGGGCACGAACCCACCAGAAGAGATGCGGTGCTGCATTATAAACTGCTGCGGTAGATTTCTTCGAAGAGAGTGCGAGAACTCGGCAAGCTGTATGTCGGGGAGCGGTGGATGAGGAGGAGCCGGGTTGGAAGGCAGCGAAGGCCTGTTTAGCCAAAAGTACGGATTAAAGGGTGGCGGAATGCTAAAAAAATTATACACAACGACGTGTTCATATAAATAAATATAAATAAATTAAAAACGAACAAATGATAATAATAATAAACGATTAAAGCGTGCACTAGTAACCGAAGAGATAGAGAGTGAAGAGTAAGTAAGCTTAAGTGGTGGGAATGTATTTAGGTATTCTTTCACCAGTTTTCTTCTTTCGTTCGACCTTACCGGTTCTGAGCAATTTTTCGGAGAGTGTCCGGCACCCGGATCAGCTTGTCCAGCGTCTTCACGATGGACTGGAATGTGGGTCTGTGGGTGCGCTCCTTCTGCCAGCAATCCAACATCAGCTGGTAGATGGCCTCGGGACAATCCATCGGAGCCGGCAGTCTACAAAATCATTTTTTTGTTCATTAAATCATCTTTTTGAGAGCGAAATTCGGATCTTACCTGTAACCCTTTTCGATGCTCTTGATGACGTCCTGATTTGACCAGTTCCAGTAAGGTCGTTCACCGTAGGACATCACCTCCCAGCACACGATTCCCATGGACCAGACGTCGCTGGCCGAAGTGAATTTACGGAAGGCTATCGCCTCAGGAGCCGTCCATCTCACAGGGATTTTACCACCCTAAAATTAGCAATTATTTAAAAAGTTGTTTAACAAACAAATAATTATAGTAAGTATTTCTTTAAGTTACTTGACAAGTATTCTAGATGTGTACTTCGACAAGTATACGATTCTTACCCTCGTGGTGTATGCTCCTTCGGTGGCGCTCTCAATTTCCCTGCTGAGACCAAAATCTGCAATCTTGCAGACGAGCTGCGAATTGACCAGAACGTTCCTCGCAGCGAGATCACGATGGACGTAGTTCATGTCGCTGAGGTATTGCATGCCCGCCGCTATTCCACGCAGCATTCCCACGAGCTGCAGGACCTGGAACTTCCCGTCGTTGGCCTGCGGATAAAAAAAATGAATCAATCAATGCAATTGATTCGGTTTTCCAATTGAAATCGTACCCGAAGGAAGGTGTCCAGAGATCCGTTCTCCATGTACTCGGTGATGATCATCACGGGATTGGATTTGGTGACGACGCCTTGCAGGAAGATCACGTTCGGATGCTCGAACTGTCCCATGATGGAAGCTTCGGTGAGGAAGTCGTTCCTAGCCTTATCCAAAGATCCGGCCTTCAGCGTTTTGATAGCCACGTCGATGTCCATGCCGTTCACCTTCAGTTTACCCTTGCAGACGTCTCCGAATTCTCCTCCACCTAAAGAATAATGAAGCAAATGGATGAGCATACATCATCATCATCATTGATTAGTCTTCTCCCTTTACCTATTATCGCTTCGATTGTGATACAGCCAGCATCAATTTCCCTTGCAAATTCGCGCACCGCCTGATTGGGGTCTTCGTACGTGTGTGGATCAATGTAGGTTCTCGAGGCTCCCATCCCGGTGAATAGGGGCGTAGTCACTGGAAACACTTCGAAAATCAACACAAAAAACGACGCGGAGAACAGCAGCAGCAGACGCAAACAAAACATTAAAACACAACAGAAAAGAACAAGAAAAACAAAACCATTATATAACATCAAATCTATTTATCTACACAGACACACACACTCAATATACAAAACGCACGTTTCGTATTAATTGCATTCGATCCTCGCGAAAGACAATAGGAATTCAATAAACAATTGTTCATTAAAATCGAAACAAAAAAGGCTACATAGTATATATGTATATATAAATCCTTTATGCTCGCAAGCAATTAGCGGTAAAAGTGCAAATTGGTGTATTTGCACGGAAACATGCAACACATAATTTATAATAATAATAAAATTTAATAGAAACGTAAGCTACTTCGAGCATGCAAAACAGTAAAAACTTTGATTTAAAACATATATAAAGTGAAGTTGTTCCTGGTTCAACGCTTGAACCAAAAGTACAACTTCAAACGACGCTTGGGACTATAAATTGACAAAGAAATCATCATCTTAGGTGTTAAATAATTAATCGGTTAATGTTTACCCATCACCATTTCACGCACACACACAAACGGTTTCTTCAATGTTCGCAGGACGCGGAAGACGACCATATTGTTGGCTGTGAAAAACTTACAAACTACAAAGAAGAAAACTAGAACTACAAGGTCCTAATCCATCCACCAAGCAATTGTTAAATCAATATTCTGCTTATAATCAAAGATTATTAAGATCCAATTTCTTAAATATTAAAATTTAAAGATAATTTTGTAATTATACAGATTATACGAAAATAATTTTCTGTTTTCAATATCTTATATGATGAAATGCATAATTGAGTTTCCGGAAAAAAAAAAGTGAAGTCGATGGAATATTGAAAATGTAATGCGAACTGGAAAATTCCGGATAGCCTTATTCAGATTTCATGGCTTTTCAATCACGATTTGCATTTTCACGGAGCCGGAAATCTAGACAAAAGCGCTGCGAGCGTCGACGAAAAATTCTTCCGCGTGAAAAATTTCCGAATTTCCTACTCGAAACATGTAATAATAATACTATCCAGAAGTGGATTGATTTTATTTACGTTCTTTTTAATAAACGAAATCTGTTTGAAAATGTAAAATGCAATATGCAATGAATAAGTGAACTTTGCGGAGATTGCAATAATAACGTTCTCGGGTTTAAGATGTTAAGAGAAACACGTTTTATGCACAATGTAAGAGCGGCGACAAAATATAAATAACGCGTGATGAGCCTATCTGAAATTATAAAGCTAATCCGTTAAGATTTTAATTAGTAATTAATATCGTTAGTGCCATGTTGTGCGCACATAAACGTGCAATTAGTGTGGCCGGATTAGTACCTCGTAATTCATTCGATTGCGGCGATGTGTTAGAGCGTCTCGGAAGAAGAATTATTTTATAAGAGGAAGAAAAAAAAATAAAAATAAAAAAAAAAATAATAAATTACCATTTGTGTGTGTGGTAACAATAGGAGGATTGTCCAAGTTATGATGAACTAAAAACAAAAATAAAACAAAAAAGAAATACTAAGAGATAAATTAATTAACGAAAACTGTGTTTTTTTTTCGCTTGATGGGGTTGTCAAGTCATGAAGCTCTGTGAAAGTTTAACACATCAATATACTTAAGTAGAAACCAATTGCGCAAATTGGTTCTGTAAGGCAAAAGCGTCTTTTATCTTAATAATATATATAAAAATACACACATAAATCAATCAAAAAATATAAAACAATCAAGTCATCTTGCGTTATCAAAAAAACTTTTCTTAGGCGGCGAAAATAACTTACTGTATGTTACTACTAATCCTTTTGGTTTAGAATGAGACGAAGAGGGGGAGAGCATGGAAAGTGCGAGTTTTTAGTAATTGTGCCAACTATTTTGGAAACGATCGTGACTTCGCTCTCGTTGGTATAAGTTTTTTTTTTGTTTGTTTTCGTTTTACATATTTATATACAAGGTTTAACGAGATGTGTAATTTACCTTCGCCGTTGCGGTATTCCAGGGTGTCGCAGTCGCTCGGTTGCTTCTTGTTGCATTCGTCGTTGGCTCTGGATTTGATGAAGACCACTGTTAAGACGATGACTGCCACGAGGATGACGACGATTGCGACGATGCCTCCAGCCACCAGCTGCAGTCGGAAACCTTCCTCGTCTTCACCTATGTAAGCTACACGAATTTGGTTTATTATAGGTATTGTTGAGTGTGAAGAGATTTTTCACTTACCGGTCTTGAGGACTTGTCCTGTAGTTTTGAAGATGACCGGGGAATAGGCGCTCCAACCGCGTTGGGTTTTAGCCCTCACCTGTAATCCGTACTCGGTGCGTTGCTGAAGCCCGGTGAAGGTGGCGAAGAGTTCGTTGGTGAGGATACTCGTGGAGTTGCTGTGATCAATATCGCCTTTCACGAAGCAGCGTACCTTAAGTAAAATTACATTTCAAAATTAGTTTCGTTGAATTAAAAAGGATTTATTCTTGATAATACTTCATAGGTTTCTACAGCATCGTTTTCGATTTCGCCACCGTCGCTGCTGGTGGGTACGTCCCAGCTGATGCTGATTTCGGTGCTCTTCACGGAAATAACGCGCACGTTCGTCGTGGTGCTTGGAACTGAAGCTTCAGTTGTGACGACTATATCCGCGTATTCCGGAGATCCGCTCTTCGAAGTCACATTCGATACACCGTTTTCGGCGAATACTTGGAATCTGTACGTAGTAACGGCGTTCAAACCGCTGATGGTGATCTTCGTGTCGTTGAATCTCTCCATGTTGGGTGAGTACTGGACCAAGCCCAAAATGCAGGCGTCGCATTTGATCCTGTAGGAGGTGTCGGCTCGACCACCCAAGTTCTCCGGCGGACTCCAGCTCAGCATCACGATCGATTGATCGACGAAGTTCACCGTCAAGTTTTGCGGCGCTGATGGAGGTTCTGCAAAGGAACAATTTATTTATAAAAGCAAATCGTTCGGAAGAATCTTTTCGATCCTCTTACGTGTACAAGGCATGTCTTTGGAATCTTTCGGGGAGCGGTAGAAACCGGAATCGCACTTGCATTCGCGCAAGCCCTCCACCTGGGCCTTCGAGTTCTCCGGGCATTTCTGGCAGAGATCGTCTCCGACACTAGACTTGTACTTGCCGCGCGGACATACTACAAAGAAACATCAATATTTTTCACCACCTTAATGCCCCAAATCGAAGCTTACCGTTGCAGGATTGCTTCTTGGTGTCCGGCTGGAAACCGGCCATGCATTTGCATCCACCTGTGGGTAACGTCCATTTCCCGTCGCCCTTGCAGAGGTACGTGGGCGTGTCGACCTCTTGCGCGTTCTCCACGCAGGTTCCCGTAGCCTGCTCGATAAGCGTCACCTCTTTTCCCGTCGGGGTCTTCGGGAACTTGGCGAAGTTTATCGTCACCTCCGGACACGTTATGTAATAAATCTGTCAAGTGAATTTTTTTTTTTTAGGTTTAGTTTTGAAAAACGATCTAAATTCGTATTTTTCCACTGACCTTTACGGCGAGCAACGAGATGCACGCTCCCTGATCCCTGAACGCAAAGTACACCCCTTTCTTCGTTACGGGGATGCTCTTCACCTCCGTATTGATGGTCACTTCGTTGTTCTTGTTGAATCTACCTTCGCCAGCGGCAATACGACCTTCACAAGTAAAAGATACAACGTTGTAAGTTATAATTCCGACACGTAAATTAGATTACAAATTATTGATTTGTAACCAACGCAAATCTAGAATTTGCTAATTTCTTCCATATCTTAGATAATCTAAACTACCCACGTAAATATCAATTCTCTTGGCCTTCAATTAAAACAATAAAACTTATTTGTTGTCCTTAACCAACGACAATACTTTGTTTACTGCATTTTTCTTTATATAAATATTATAATAATTCTCACAACCCATTACTTTTTAATTTACTAACCACAGTCACATTCACATTTCCTTTACTTTACGTATTTTTTCTTCAATGTTTCTTAGCAAATTGCATTGCAAAATTTACATAAATTGATTCATTTTAATTTCTGTTACTTTATATAAATAAATAAAAGTTATATAAATTCATAATGCAAAATTGTTAATTTTCTAAATAAAATAGTATTTAAAGCAAGATATTTTTTTTGTGATTTGTATGATTTTTAAGTTTGTTTCAAAAGCAGTATTTTAAGTATGTTCAAATATATATGATAATTAAAAAAAAAAACAAAATTCTGAAATAAAAGATGTGTGTCGTCAGGTGGAAAATGTTCGAAGTGTGTGTGTATGTTAGTGTGCACAGCCCCCTCGATCTTACTACATCTTGAAACGTATCTAACGATATGCAAATAAATAATTATCCGGCTCACCGATTAATTTGTAGCTATCGGTTTCCCACGGCGGGGGTTCCCTCGTGGCGACGTCGAACTCGTAGTACAGAAGACTGAACGTCTCCTTGCACGACAGCGCGTTACCTGCAAACATGAATAAATATCAAATAAACGATAGAGGGTACAAAAAAAAAATAGGGACGATAAACTGCTACAACTACTAATAATAATAATGATGATAGTTGTTGTAATAACGTAAAAAAAAGCATTTGAAATTCAAATCGAGGGTATAAAATATAATATAATATAATGATGGTGTAGTGTAATGTATAGAGAAGAGAGAGAGAGAGAAGTACATACCTGGAAAGAGGCTGCAATCCCTGATGGTGAACTGTATTTCGATGTAGATCCTGTTGGCCTGCGTCCGCTCGATGAACGGCACCCAGAGCCAGTTGTTCACGTTGCTGTAGGCCACGTCGCACACCACGTACGACCTCCAATGGAGTCCCTTTGGGAAATCCGAAAACGTCTCCTCCACCCACTGACAACAACAAAAAAAAAGACAATCATATAATGTAAAGAGAGGAATGTTAAAATAATGCAAGAATTGAGAGAATCTTTGAGGCTTTTTTTCGTTCCTCTGATTGACAGGCAACGACGGTGGGACCACGCATCATTGTTGCATTGTTGTCCTGCAGCTTTCTACGCGTGCATAAATTACAATTTTCTGATTCTCTTCGGCGAGGCGGGGACCGAAGAAGAAGGATCGTTTGGTTGGTTGGTTGGATGGATGGAAACACGCGCGCCTCGTTCCACGGACCGCGTTTATGAATGCTGATTAAATATCAATAGGCCGTGGAAAAGGCGACGAAGATAAATAAGAAAAAGCGCCCACTCTTTCTTTACCCTCACGCTCTCGTTCTTCTTCTTTTCACATTTTCTCAATCTGCATTTAATGCATTATTTATCCTCTCAGACGAACGCCTTTTCATTCGTCCCAAATTCCCAATTTGAAGCACTGAGCTATCTTTTAGTATCGATCATACATTTCGAAGTATTACATTTAACACCGGACCTTCTTCAATAAAGATGATAATTTCAACTTAAGTAGACAAATTACAACTACTTCTTACACAATATCAATTCGTATCTTATGTAGACATGAAGATATGTGTCGATTCNNNTAGTCAATAGGGTTTGTCGGTTTTTAATACCCGGTTCTGAAAAGCCGTTTTTTTTTTTTGAAGAAATGTATATAATTCCAAAACCGGGTTTATCCATAAAAAACGGTTTTATTTTCTGAGCTTTTATATTGATTTAGTTTTTAATTTTGTATGTATACTAAATAGAAAATTACGTTGTAAAAATCTTTCCAATCTTAAGAAATTTGGATTTTATAGTAAAGATTCTTTAGAGAATAGTTGCACGAAATGGATTTGAGTGCACTCATCGTCTAAGAACGAGGATAAAGTCTATCTAATTTAATCAATATGTAGGAAATTGAATACGCATTCTTCTTTCCTTTTTTTCTAATTCCCATACATAAATTAGTGACAGCAGAGACTCTTGCATCACATCACCTGCTGAGCTTTCGAATGTTTCCTGCGTCGATTAAATATCAATAAGAACATGCGTGTATCTCATATACATGGGTGTAATAATCATTTTGTTTGTAACATATAAAATATAATCTTTGTTTGATTTCTTCTTGGAGGCGTGTAAAACGTCCGTCCCATATTCCACCCCCTAAAGCTCGCGCTTCAAACGTGCACGCTATGGGGAGGATAGAAAAACCACATGAATATTATAAAGTTTCGATTCGCGACTGGTGTTAATGTGTGCGAATGGTGTTCAAAAATTGAAAGTGCATCGATTCGTTACGACTGCTGCTTCTCTCTTTGTATATACGCAATGTGTGCGTTTTCCTTCCCCCTTTTCATTCATTCTTGTGTGAAATTAGCCCCCGCATTCGGCGGCGGAGGCGACGCCACCCCCGATATAATATTTCCAGCACGTAGCGCACAGTTAATTCCAAAATGTTGGTGGTGGTAGTATTACTATAGTGTAGGTGGGGTTCGAGCCAATTCGTTTTCTTACATACGTATATATGCAATATATATATATATAGATATAATGAGAGGGAGGAGGAGAGAGATAGAAATTCGGTGGCGGCGGTGATAGCGAGGGGTCGGTCTGCGAGATCAAGAATGGTCGTAAATATATGAGGGAATGGAATTTGCCGCCTCCGCAGCCACCTCACAATTGCCGTTGTCGGAGGAAGAAGCGAGAAGGAAAACGAGAAGGAGGAGGAGGAGGAGAAGGCAAAATGATTCGGCCAACTTTGGCGCTTCTTTTCCTTTTTCCTCTCCCCAACGGTGTACTACAACAATCTACACAGATGAAATATTAAGCGAATTGTTGCCCGCGGCACGTGCCGCGCTTTATTCTTCTGAAAATACCTCATCATTCATTTCATTCCATTTTATACACAGGAAGCGACTCCTCCTCATCCTCCGCCATCTCCACGTGTCCTCTCGCATTCTATCCCCTTTTCCTCCCCTTCCCTTAAACCCTCGCCAAACGAATGACTTACGACGTATATCGAATCGAAGCGACGTTACCCACTTTAATTTCGTTCCCATACCCAATCAATTTATACTTCCCAAACCCCGAGCATAATCCACACTCTCTCTCTCTATTTATCCCCCACATAAGCCTCATTTAAGTTCATAATCCACTGATTCTACACCAGTCTTAAGACCTGTCTCTAAACCTTCAAAATTTGTCTCTGATTTAATCCTCTCGCACAAACACACCATAATAAAATCTACTAGAATTATCTCCAATTCAATCCTCCTTCAAAACATATTTAATTATTACGCTAATTACCATTAAATAATCATTGACAATCCATACAGTTTGTTTTAACGATGACTAATAAACTGATAATCTATTACGTTTATTACGATCAATCTTTAGCTTCGACTTATATCAATAAAAAAAACAACAACAATATGGCTTTGTTATATTTGGGATGAGTTGCTTCGGGAGAGAAGACATCACCTCGAAGTCATTTAAATTTTGTTGATGGAATGTCTTCCTAGTGAGGTAGTCAGGGGCCAAAATGGAATTGCGAACTTTCGTGATTAAAACTTGCGCACGCTGAAAGATAAGAAAGTCTCCTGGGTGAGTGAATGAGTGAGGACGAAGGAGAAGGATAAGAGGAAAAGGCGAGGGCATGTATCTTGAAGTCAATTAAGACGTACACAGAATAATGCATAATTAATGCGCTCTGACGCCTCCAAAACTTATAATTATTTAAGAACAAAGATGTGAGTATTATTATAACATTATCAGTAAACATTTTGTTTACTGCTCTTTGTTTTTAGTAATTTTTTTTAATAAACTTGAACGTCAATTACTAAATAGTGACATAAATGTATGTAAGTTGGTACAATATGCAATTGGTGATAAAACTTTCATCAATGATTACCCAAGGCATAAAAGTAATTTGACAATTACTTGTGACATCCGATTTGGATGGGAATAAGATATTTACGAGTTTGTTGATGGACGAGGAATATGATTGATTCATTAAGCGAAAATATCGAAGATCGGTATTGGCGTGCGCGTTTTTCGGTGTTGGCACAATGGAAACAGATATTTTGTTTAGTCGGCGATCAATCTTCGGCTCGCGTAAGCTTTTACCAAGAAAAATGATTCCATAAATTCCATCTAATAAACAAGCGATAAAGCAGCACATAAAGCGGCGATTTACGATTTGGCATTCTTCGCCAATTGAAGTGACTGAGGCCGTTTAGCAGTAGAGAGGAAGGGAGAGAGATGAAGACCTTTTAAACGCGCGTAAGGAAAAGGAAATGAACGGAGAGAAGAAAGAAGTTGGAGCAAAAAGGGCGTGGACACATGTCTACACGCCGTCTTCTCGACACGGCCCTGTTCATTAGGACAACATGCGTGAGCGCGTAAGTGCCCTTATTACCGGAGTTGTTCGGGGAGTAACAGAGAGATGAAGGTTGCAGATGGAACGAGGATGGTTGTAGGTAGGTTGATAATTAGCCCCTGCCGTCGCGTACCCCGTTCGTAACCTTGCGGAGCGAGTCGAGCCGTCTAATTAACGATATAATGAGTAAATAGGGGGTGAATAATAAAAGGGGATTAAAAGCTGTTAGTGTGTTATTAACATTCGCACATAAAATGTTCGTACAGTACAAGTATTCATACAGGGCTAAACGCGGGCTAAAAGAGCGTCCCTCCTCCAACCAACCAACCCATAAAAGGTATATTTTTTCCCAAAAGGGATAACAGACTTTCCCCGCCGGAATTAATTCCATGTCCGCGAAAAACTCTTCTCGCGCCCCAAAAAAACTTAATTACGTTAATAAACCTGGGTACGTATTCCCAAATGCATGAACGAAATCAATATTTCACGTGCAGTTGGGGAAACTCAAGTAATTGGGACGTACACACAAACGTATGTACTGAAACACACACACATTGCGCTCTTGCACATTAACCCTCGGATTATACCGTAAAATCCCACGAGGTGTTAACGTACCAGAAATTATGGAATATTATACCAAAGCCACATGCTCTTCTCTTCCCGTCGTCTCCGCCATCTAAAATACATTATTAATGCGTTTCTCAGCCATCGCGGAATGGGTTCTCTTACGGCTTACGGATTTAGTTTGAAAACATGACCCGCAAACGTTTTCCCATTTTAATGCAATGATAATTGAATCATCTCGAAGCAGACATGAAAAATGCAAGAAGTCATCCACGATGATTCACAGGTGTATATTATGAATAGAATGAGCAACATGCTTTTCCACAACTGTCTATTGCTTTAGTATTTGAACAATTTAAATTGTAATCGTTAAAGTTTTTGTCATAAAAGAAACGTTGCAATTTTAATTTACAGCCATTATTTTCCTGTTAAGGTTATTCCATTTTTCATTTCAAATTAATCTAGAAAAAAGCTTATAATCAATAATTATTTCAAGTAAATTATCTCTCTTATTACTAATTGCTAAAGTTTTATGTTAAACAACGAATTTTTGCCATTTTTCATTTGACAGTTTGGATTTTATAACTTCTTCTTAGTGCATTTAATTAATCTTTGCTTTTTGATTATTCAGTTAGACAAAATTTTGTTAAAAAAATGGGTCATAAAGGAAACGTTAGTACTTTCTTTTAAAGCGATTCATTTTCTGTTAAAGTTATATCATTTTTCTTTTGAAAGTTGAATAGTGTGTACTTAACATTTTCTCCTTGATATATTTGATGATTCAATCAATAACTTCTAATCAATATTTGCTATTTAATGTCATCAATTATTACACCAAAGTTTTGAATGTCATAAAAGAAGTGTAACAACTTTGGAAACAGTGTAATTATAACCAAAATTCTTAACATTAATTTGCAATTCATGAATAGCATGAATTTTCTTTTCTACTAGAATTATGTCATTTTTCAGTTGTGTAGTTTTGATTTTATTACTTCTTCTTAGTGCAAAATTATATC